GGAATTTGCCTCTGCAGCTGAGAGCCACTGAGGCCGGATACATGTCATCTTCTGCAGAGGAAAGCTGCCAACAGGGAGTGGAACCAGTCCAAGAGAAAGAAGTGTTTCACAGTCAACAAAGCAGAATGGAGTTGGAGATCTGAAGAGTACTTTGACATCAGCATGAAGATGTAGAGTTTGGAGTTTGCCCAGCTGGTTTTTGGTCTCACTTTGGACTAGAATTTCTTCACTATTTATCCTTCCCTATATTTTGGAATGGTAATGTATATCCTGTGCTACTATATGTTGGAAGTATGGGATCTGTCTTTGATTTTGATTTTATAGTGGATTACAGTTAAGAGATTGCATGAATCTCAGAAGAGACTTTAAACTTTAAAACATTGTTGAGATTGTGATAGATTATTGGGACTTTTGAAGTTGGGCTAAATGCATTCTTGCATTATGATATGGTTACAAGCCTTTGGTGGCCGGGGAGTGGAATGTGATGGTTTGAAAGAAAATGGCCTGCAAAGGGAGTGGTACTATTGGAGGTGTGGCCTTGTGGAGTAGGTGTGCTCTTTTTGTAGGAAGTGGACCACTGTCTAGGCAGGCTTTGAAGTCACATATACACTTGATCAATACTAAAAATGTAGAAGGTTTCTTATATGTAATACGAAATATACTGAAGAAGAAATCAATGACTGTGATGGTTTGAATAGGAATGATCCCAAAGATTCATGTGTTTGAATGGCTGGCTATAGGGAGTGGACTATTAGGAGATGTGGCCTTGCTGGAGGAAGAGTATCAATGTGGGGGCGGAGCTTTGAGGTCTCAGATGCTTAAGCCAGGCCCAGTGGCACAGAGGGGTTTTCCTGCTACCTGCGGATCCAGATGTAGAAGTCTCAACTCCTTCTCTAGCACCACGTCTGCCTGTCTACTGCAATGCTTTCTGCCATAATGATAAAGGACTAAATCTCTGAAACTGTAAGTTAGCCTCAATTAAGTGTTTTCCTGTGGTCACGTTCTCTCTTCACAGCAATAGAAACCCTAACTAAGACAGTGATCTAAGAAATTCTTGGAACAGTGAAAATAATAAGGCTCAGAAGAAATAAGCCAAAGAAGATAGCTAAAGATTTGGAAAGATTGAAGTGAGGTGTGTTGGAGCAGGCCTTTAATCCTAGCACTTTGGAGGCAGAGGAACGGGATCTCTGTGAATCTGAGGCCAGCCTGATCTACACTTGGAAAGCCAAAAACAATTTGGAAAGACTCATGTCTGTTTATTGTCCATACTAATAATATGAAAATGGTTATGTCCAGGCCCTGCACCTTGCCTGGGCAGCATAGTAGAGCCAACAGCATTGGCAGAGGTGTGGGTAGAGCCAGCCCCAAAGTTGTGAGCATAGGAGAGCTATCCCCATTACTCATCAGAGATGCCCTCTCCCCCTACTCCTGTCCATCAGTGCCTGAGGCAGGTGGGAGAGCGGTCCCTGCCCCTCATCAGCTGCAGTACTCGGGAGAGTGACCCCTACACTCATGCCTGGGCAACACAGTAAGCTGTCCCTGGTGGTGTAGATGTGGGAGAACCAACTCTGAGGACACAAAAGCAGGACACCTGGCCCTTCCCCTTGCTCATCACCACAAAGGGTGAACTAGTCAGGGCAATGCTGGAGAGCTCACCCTGGTGGTGAGGAAAAGGGAGAGCTTGTGGGCTGACCAACCCTGCAACTGCTCAGGCCCAGAACCAGGAGTTGACCCACCCCAATTTCCACTCCATCTGATCCTCGTCCAAGGTCAGATAGCCCCTTCAAGAATAATACTATTAAGACAGGAAACCCACAGGTAGAAGACGGAAACTCCTCTCATCTCCCATGCTGTACAAAGTCAATTCCTATGATCATCCCAGATGAAATGGACACTGCTGAGGTAGCAAACAGCAATGGACACTAGGGAGGACATGGTGAAAAGGGATTCCTTGACTGCTGGAGGGGATGTAAGTTATAGCAGTCAGTAAGGAAATCAGTAGAGACACCATTCAAAAACCAGAGATAAAACTGCCATAGGTTTCATGTAGGCTGCTTTGGAGCATATAGCCCAAGAATTCAAAGTCAGAATACCGAGATAATTATATATCTGTATATTATGGTCTTACAATAGTCAAGTTATAGAATCAATCTATGTGTATATTAAAAGATGAATGGATAAACAAAAGATATCCCCGCTCACATATGTATACACAGAGAGAGGGGGAGAGAGAGGGGGGAGAGAGGGAGAGAGAGAGAGAGGGAGGGAAGGAGGGAGGAAGAGAGAGAGAGAGAGAGAGAGAGAGAGAGAGAGAGAGAGAGAGAGAGAGAGAGAGAGAGAGAGAGTGTATAATCTTATTCAGCTATAAAGAAAAAAATCAGGGGTTGGGCCTGTGGATCAGTGGGCCAAGCACTTGGGCTTAGATCTCCAGCACTCTTGTAAGAAGTCATGGGTGGTAGTGAGTGTCTGCAATCTCAGAGCTGGGAGCTGAAGACTGGAGAATCTCTGCGGGCTTGCTTGTGCGTCAGTCTGGCCAGTCTGTGAGTTCCACATTCGCTGAGAGACACTGTCTCAAAATATGTGGTGAAGGCTGGGAAGACGGTTCAGTGGACAATGCCCTTGTCATGCAAACGTGAGGGTTGGGATTCAGATCTACTGAACCCACTTTAAGGCTGGGTAGATGTGGCAGCTACCTGTAATCCAAGCACTTAGGAGGCAGAGACAGTATATCATGGCAATTTTATGTCAACTTTATACAACCTAGCATTATTTGAAAGGAAGGAACCTCAAAAATGTCTCCCTAAGATCCAGTTGTAGGGCATTTTCTTAATTAATGATGGATGGTGTGCCCAGACCACTGTGGTTGGTGCCATCCCTGACCTGGTAGTTCTGGATTCTATAAGAAAGCAGACTGAGCAAGCCATGAGGAGAAAGTATGTAAGTAGCTCCCCTCCATGGCCTCTGCACCAGCTCCTGCCTCCAGGTTCCTGCTCTGCTTGAGTTCTTGCCCTACTTGAGTTCCTGCCCTTACTGTTTTTGATGAACTGTTACATGGAGGTGTGAGTGAAATAAACCCTTTCCTATTCAGATTGGTTTTTGTCATGGTGTTCCATAGCAATAGTCACCCTAAGACACAGGGGATCCCTAGAGCAAGCTGGAAAGCCAGGCTAGGTAGAGTTGGCTAGCTCTGGGTTTAGTGAGGGAGACCCCAAATTAATAAATAAAGTGTGTGTTGTGTGTCTGTGTGTGTCTCTGTGTGTGTATGTATGTTGTGTGTATGTGTGTTGTATATATGTGTGGTGTGTGTTTGTGTGTGTGTCTGTGGTGTATGTGTGTGGTGTGTGTCTGAATATGTGGTGTGTGTTTATGTGTGTGTTGTGTGCTTGTGTGTGTGTTGTATGTATGTGTGGTGTGTCTGTATATGTGTGTGTGTCTATGTATGTGGTGTGGTCTGTGTTTCTGTGTGTGTATATGTGTAGTGTGTGTGTCTGTGTGGTGTGTGTCTGTGTGTTTATATATGTAGTGTGTGTGGTGTGGTGTGTGTGTGTCTGTGTATATGTGTGTGTGTCTGTATATGTGTGTATGTGTGTGTCTGTGTATGTGTGTGTGTGGTGTATATGTCTGTGTGTTTATGTGTCTACATATATGTGTATGCATGTTTGTCTGTATATGTGTGTGTGGTATGTATGTCTTCGTGTGCGTGACATGTGGTGTGTGTGTGTCTATGTGTTGTGTGTGTATATGTATGAAATGAAGTTATTACAGCCTGAGGAAACAGGAGAACTTAAAAAAACAATACAGAAGCTGGGCAATGGTGGCTCATGCCTTTAATCCCAGCACTCTGGAAGCAGAGGCAGGCAATCTCTGTGAGTTTGAGACTAGCCTGGTCTACAAGAGCTAGTTCAGGACAGCCTCCAAAGCCACAGAGAAACCCTGTCTTGAAAAACCAAAAACACCAAACCAAACCAAACCACACAAACACAGCACAGAAAGTAGAATGTGCACTATTTTAGGGGATGGCAGAGAACAGTAAGAAGAAGGAAATAAGGTGATGAAGGTGTGAAAACCTCCAGGTACTGTGTTTGTGTATGGAATGCCATAACAGAACCCAGTACTCTGTGTGATTAATATATACTATATATACTGATAAAAAGATGTTGTTCAAATGTGTGTCTAAATGGGGAGATGATTGCTTATTCAACTGCTATGTTGCTACCATACCTTAATTAATTTCTTGTCTCATAGCCTTGAACTTCACGGACCATTTTAAAAAGGATTGGGCTGGTCTTGGTTTTCTGTCATATCTCTCCTTGCTTCTGCTGTCATAGCTTGTTAGTGTCTTTTGGAAGGCTCATAATTTCTTGAGATTTATAAGGCTGTGCCTCTTTTTTTTTCTGATGTTGAGATTTGTGGAGAGAGTAATTTCTTTGTCACTTCTCATGGTGTTCTTTGGCAGAGACAGATTGGCCCCCTAACCCCTCAGTGTCTCATCTGTGATGCTGAATGGACAGTTGCTGCTGGCCCTGAGCAGTGGAAGCATACTTTTGGTTTCTCTAAATAGCTGGGCAATTCCCTTTACTCTGAATTTGGTTGGGGCAGCTGACTGGGCTTTGCTCTCTGGCAAGACCACTGGCTGACATCTGCAACTAGGATGAGAAAGAGAATGGGCACTGAGATTGTCTCAGGTCTGCTAGAACACTGAGTGTGTTCTCTGGTCACAAGGTTCTGTGATTCAACCTCATCTGTTGAGCAGGTTAGCACAAAAACTTTAGTGACAAGGAGATCAGCATGGAGTCTAATGAATACTAATTAGCAGCGTCTACATTCTCTGTCCAGCCTGCTAGCACCAAACTCACCAAAAGGGAATTGCATGTTTCTCATCTTTTCCAGCCATGGGCCTCATGGCTACTTGAATATTCTGCCCCGGTATGGACTATACGGACACCACAGAGACAAGATAAAGCAGTGGATTTGGAAATAAGTAGTAGATAGAATCCTACCTTTCCCCCATCCTTCTTGCTGGATGTGGCAAGCTGGCTGTGTAGAAGGGAAGATAACAGTCACTAGAGGATACTTCTCTGCTCTGGAGAAGTGCATTTAAAAGCTGGAAGGAAGTAAAGTTTATCAATACACCAGACGGCCCTGTGGTTTCCTGCTCAGAGTCCTGTTGACAAATGGGAGTGTAGGGTCTGTTACGTCATGTTCCTCCTGAGACATTTCTCAATCTCTTGCTTTGTTATGCTTTTACCTCTCAACTTGTACAAATCACAGCCTCACTGTGTCCTCCTTCCTTGTGGTTCTTGTTTCGGAGTTTCCTGCCACCTGGACAATAAATGCCAAGCCTGGTGGGCTGGGCCGACAAGCGCTTGGTGAGGATGGAGCAAAGTCTCTCTGTTTGCTCTGCACTCCCCACGGCCTGGCTTCTCCTTTTCTCTGTTAAAGCAGCGATGTCTGCACATTGCCAGTTTCTTGCAAACAGCACAGAAATGTATCAGACAGAAGGTGTATGTCTTATAAAGCATTGTTCTTTGGAAGCAATTGCTTGTTAAAGTGTTTATTCCTTTTTTTTTTTTTTTTGGTTTTTCCAGACAGGGTTTCTCTGTATTGTTTTGGAGGCTATCGGTCCAGCCCAGCCTCGAACTCACAGAGATCTGCCTGCCTCTGCCTCCCGAGTGTTGGGATTAAAGGCGTGCACCATCACTGCCCGGCAAGTGTTTATTCCTAAATATCCTATTCGCTGAGGTTATAGTTTTGATTGTCAAACACTCATTTTTTATTTTTTGGAGTTTGTCTCTGTCAATGATTATATAATCCAATGCCCTTCATGAGAATGCGAGGATGTTGTTACGTATAGTAGGTATTATTGAGGAGTGACTAAGATGTATTTATTTGAGATGGGAATCTCCTTTATTCCAAGATGGCCTTGAACTAGCTATATATCTGAGAATGACCTTGAAATTCTGATTTTCTTGTCTTTTTCTTCCAACATGGGAGTATAGGCATGTGTCGTCACAGCTCATTTTATGTGGTGCTGGCGATCAAACCCACGGATTTGCGCATGTAAAACGCCGAGACACATGCTCATCCCCAGTTCAGAAGTGAGAGATTTAAACAGACGGTCTGTGTCTGGTTAGTAAGCAGTGGAGAAAGGGCACCAAGGATGTGTGCACAGTCTTGGCTGTAGCAGCACATTGTGGAATCTGAATGCACCAAGCACGGGCGTGATGGTCAGTGTGACATACTGGCAAGAGATTGGTTGAATGTGAGAAGGCCTTTGGAGCAGAGGCTCTAGGGAGAACAGCTTAGTGGAGGAGTGAGGACCAGGCAGATGATGTGGAGATGAAGACTCTGACGGTCCCTGTGATGTGGAGGATGAGTAGCTACAGAACTAGTGGTTGTATGGAGCGAACGACAAGGTTAAGGGTTCGAATGTGGAGAAGTGAGGACCGACCATCTAGATGGATATGGTAGTTACTGAAGATGAGGACAAGGCTGGCGCTCAAAAAGTCTGTAAGCCAGACAGACCAGAAGATAATAAACACTTACACACCCACTAGTGAGGTTAAGAATGTGATATTTTTCTTGTTTTCTACAGAATTCTCTTAGAAAAAGATCACATGTCTAACTAATGGCCCAACTGTACATCACCTTTCTTTCTGTGATGTTTCAGATGTTGAAGTCTGTGTGCGTTGTTCATGTCACGTGTTGTAGTATGTTAGAAAAACCAGTTTTATCCAAAAGCAAGGTACTACAAAAACACACTGGACATGAATTTTAGTATGATTTCCAGGATTTAACAACCAAGTTGTTAGTAACTGGTTACACAGCTGTTAAGACACCTTCAATGTCCAAATACAGAAAAATTCAGAATATAATTTTATGTAGTTTGGCTTAAAGATAAATCATCATCATTTTCGGGTTACTCATCAGGTCTCCACATGGTAGGAAAAACTTTAGAAAAAATGTGCAACTGACGAAATCACAAACACCTAAGTTTTGCAATTAGCTAACCCACATCATGACACTCTGCCTGGGCCTGGACTTACAGTGCTGTCATAGCATTTCCTCATAGCTGGTGAGTGTTCCAAAGGCCAAATCCTCTATAGAATTACATGCAGACTGTACTAGGGATGAATACTGATCCACTGCCAGAGGCCCCATAGATTGCCCAGACCTCCTAACTGACACCCATGTTCAGGGGGTCTGGATCAGTCCTATGCTTGTTTCCCAGCTATCAGTCTGGGATCCATGAGCTTTCCCTTGTTCAGGATTACTGTTTCTTTGGGTTTCTCCAGCCTGGTTTTGACTCCTTTTTTCATTACTCCTCTCTCTCTCTGCAACTGGATTCCAGGAGTTCAGGTCAGTGTTTAGCTGTGGGTGTCTGCTTCTGCTTTCATCAGCTACTGGATGAAGGCTATAGGATGGATATAAGGTAGTCATCCATCTCATTATTGGGGAAGGACATTTAAGGTAGCCTTCCACTATTGCTTAGATTTTTAATTGGGGTCATGCTTGTAGATCTCTGAACATTTCCCTAGTGCCAGATTTCTTTTTAAACCTATAATGGCTCCCTCTATTATGGTATCTCTTTTCTTGCTGTTCTCTATTCTTCACCCAACTCAATCTTCCTGCTCTCTCATGTCCTCCTCTCTCCTCCTCTTCTCCCCTTCTCTTTCTCCTAACTCCCTCTCCCCTTCCCCATGCTCCTAACTAGCTCAGTAGATCTTGTCCCTTTCCCCTTCTCTGGGGGACCATGTATGTGTCTCTTAGGGTCCTCCTTGTTTCCTAGCTTCTCTGGTGGTATGGATTGTAAGCTGGTAATACTTTGCTCTAAGTCTAAAATCCATATATGAATGAGTACGTACCATGTTTGTCTTTTTTTGTGACTGGGTTACCTCACTCAGGATGGTTTCTTCTAGTGACATCCATTTGCCTGGAATATCAAGATTCCATTGGTTTTTTTCTGCTAAGTAGTACTCCATTGTGTAAATGTACAACATTTTCTTTATCCATTCTTCAGTTGAGGGGCATTTTGGTTGCTTCGAGGTTCTGGCTCTTACAAATAATGCTGCTATGAACATAGCTGAACAGACATCCTTGTTGTAGGAATGTACATCTTTTGGGTATATGCATAAGAGTGGAATTGCTGGATTTTGTGGTAGACCGATTCCCATTTTCCTGAGGAACCACCATACTGATTTCCAAAGTGGCTGTACAAGTTTGTACTCCCACCAGCAGTGTAGAAGTGTTCCCCTTTCTCCACACCCTATCCAGCATAAACTGCCATTGGTATTTTCATAGCTATTTAAAAACTTTATTTTTATTTATATGTATGTGTCTGTTTATGTGCACATGTGTGCAGGTACCTGTGGAGGTCAGAACAGGGCACTGGATCACCCAAAGCTGGAGTTATAGGCAGTTGTGGGCTGCCAGATGTGGGTGCTAGGAAATACATTCTTTGGATGGGCACTAAGCATTTTTAACTATAGAACCATTTTTCAAGATCCTCAAAGCTATTAAAAATTTGTGTTCTGAATATTCACGGTCTACTTGTTAACCTCCCCAAAGATTCACATGTAGACTACTGGCCACAGATATTCTCACAGTGGTCCCTTCAGTTTGTATGGGGTCTTTGTGATATGAATAACCAGTGGTACCAAACAGCCCTGAACTCTTGACACTAATTTTTACCAATATAATCTACACAACTGTGGAAGGGTTAGTTGTTTTAAAATCCATTCCTCAAGAGGACTGATCATTCAGACTGAGCAAAAGTCATAGAACAATTGGTATAAAGTCTTGAAATGTCTATGGTTTCCAGTCAATCAAGTAGTAAATCTGTGGACTGTTAAATGATTTCCAGGATATATTTATTTTGACATAAACACATAGATTACATTATTAAATTGAGATTGGCCTTCAATATTTCTAGAATTCACATTGTTCTGGGTGAAAACTAAATAAATACCAATTTTCAAGGGTGCAGGAACAGTGTTTACAGGACTTATGCCAAGCTCCCTGGTTCTTCATCCTGCAGGCAGGGAGGCCATCCTTAACACACTGTATTCTGAAGACTTGATGATGAAATGAGACCCCAAACTCATTCACTCAGAACCAAGCCCTCTATCTGCAGCAACACCCAATCACAGGACAGGCTATGGTGGCCCTGAGAACAGAGTCCAAGAGAAAAATAAGGAATAGTAGTTTCTGCTGTCACGTATACAACAACTACAAACAGAACTTTTGGGATTTGGTATGGGAGTTTTCATTGTGCTGAAATTAAAAAGTGCAGAATAAGAAATGATTTAGAAAGCATAACATACGGTTCTTTCTTTTTTTATATGGAGGAATCCAAACACTCTACTGTCAGACTAATGTTTTCTCAAAGAAAATCACGAGAAGCCAGAATAAAATAAATCCATGTTGAGGAATCCCAAGGCTTTTACACACATGAGGCTGAGAGAAGAGCATATAGCTATTGAGTGTGGCAGGACAGTGCCCACTTCAAAGCCAGGCTAAGGCTCTTCATCACTCCTGCACTCTGCAGCCTGGCATCTCCACAATTCTCCATGTTCATCACCCTCGGGAATGTCCTGCAGACCCCTCTGGGGAACAGCCTGAGGGCCTGCTGATTCAGCTTCTGTTTTGAGTGCCAGTACACTTAGCTATGATATCTGTACCGTGGTTACCAGGGCAGGACAAACAATACAAGGAGCTTACAGAGGAATGAGCTGTAATAAGTTTGAACTATAACCTAAGACACCTTGAATGCCATTTCATGAGCTGCAAGACAGGAATATGAGGACCAGAGACAGGATGGTCACATGGATCCTGGTTAGTTGCATACGCTGGATCTGGATCTACAGAAAACCTCAAGTAAGAATGTTAGCAATGTGCTGATGCCAAAATAAAGTGCTTCAAGGCCTGCATAAGACTGCACCAGTCAACACTCCAGCAGGAATAAGGGAAAATAAACACACCCCTAGTTGAAGAACTACAGGTAGTCAGTGCTGCTGAATTATGGGGATAGGTTTTCCACAGGGAAAAGACCCCTGACATGTTGTCCATGTCCAAGTGGTCAGCTACCTAAATACATATGAGTAATACTTAATGGACTTATTA